TGTCTGTTACCACTTTTTCTCAGCTCTCACCGAACGGATTTCTTTCAACGATACGTCAAAAGATCACAAATTGTATCTAGTTGAAGATATTACCCTCAAAAATTGAAAAAAATTCCTTCGTTCCCCGTAAATGGGGAAAACCTCCAAAAAAATTACAAATTTAAAAATTGCTAATGTTCAAAAATTTTTCAATTTTTTTTACTTAAAATTGCTATAACTTTTTTAAAAATAACCGAATTAATATAATTTTTTTTTATAAAGATGCATGATATCATTACTTTTCATTTGGTATATTTTTTTTTTATATGTGACCCTTTACTTGCCCACAGGGAGGGATTTAAAATGACAACTTTTTCACAAAAAATTATTTTTTTCAACTTGATTTTTGAAAATGTTCCGGAAGGTCTGACACTTTTATATATATCTTAAATTAAAGCTAATGTAATATACTTTAATTTGAAAAAAAAAAATTTGACCTCTGGACTTGTCTTCATGGTGAAAACGGCTACCGAATGCTATTTTTGTGTGAAAATTTTCGATTTTATAATTTACATTTTTTACTTTAAAGTGCTATAACTTTTTAAAAAATGTATGGATCAATACAATTTTTTCATGAGAAGTAGTATTTATATACATCTTTCATTGGATATACTTTTTTTTTAAATCAGACTATTTCCCTATATATGGGGGGGCTTCAAATATAAAAAATGCATATAGAAAGTAGAACTTTTTCAACTTAACTTTTGAAAGTGTTCCGGAAGGTCTGACACTTTTATATATATCTTAAATTAAAGCTAATGTAATATACTTTATCATGAAAAAAGAAAATTTCGGACTTTATTTTATCTTCACAGTGAAAATGGCTACCAAATGCTATTTTTGTATGAAAATTTTCGATTTTGTATTTTACATTTTTAACTTTATTATGCTATGACATATTGAAAAGTGTATAGATCAACATTATTTTTTTATGAGAAATATTATTTTTTAATAAACCCTTTTTCATTCGACATACTTTACCTTAATTAGGATATTAATAATGAACTAGCAGATCATGTAGCTTTTGGAATAATCCACCAATTTTTTTTAAATTAAACACAATCTAAAGATTTGCATCGAAGCGTTTATTTTTGATAGTGATTTTAATCACTGTCAGATATCATTNTTTTTTTTTTATAGTGATTTTAATCACTGTCAGATATCATTATACTTGATCCATGTATGCCACGACACCACTGTGCCACGACCCCCCTGTGCTGGGTTTTTTTATTTTATTTTTATGCCACTGGCACAACTATTCAGCTCTTGAGCTACCCCTAAGAAAAAAATTACTTAACCTATCCCGGGGCGGATGATTAGCCTCTTGCTGAATAAAGGAATGTCTAATCCAATTATTGATCACTCTATAAATAAACGGAACCACCTGTTGAACCCAAGACTGTGCACATCAGGTACTGCTGAGTTACTGACTTGGACACATAGTCCCTATATTTTAATATTAAGTATAAAAATATCAGTTTTGAGTAATCCTTTTAAAAATATTTCCAAACTATTTAATTATACAAAAACTGTATCATTCATTCTTCTATTCCACTCTTCCTGCACAGTGATGATACTGTCATTGTGTAAAAATGTTTAGGCAGATGACCATATTGTGTCAGTAATCTTGTTAAAGTGCTTATTTGATACCTAGTCATATTAGTATATATTAGTTATATATAGTCATATTATTATTACCTTACTAGTGTAATTTTATTAAACCTTGCTAGTGATTCTAAAGTTTTCATACATTCAAGGACTACCTTGAAGTCACCTCGTTATTATTAAGTGCTTTCAGAGCCACTTAACTTTGTTTAGGATATTTATGTTCTTTTTCTTGAATATTAGCATGTTATAGGCCCCTACTAGTATTGCCATTACCTCTGCTTGTAACTCAGAGGGTGTTGTGCCTATTGACATGCTGATATTTATGCGAGGTTTTAATCCCCAAATACCAGAATCTACCTTTCATGATTTCTTGGAACTATCTATATAAATTACAAACCCTGCTTTCCTAGTCAAGTGGTTTTTAAACCTTTCCTTATGTGTTAAGATACAACTTTGTAGAAGTTTTGAAAACGGGTTTAATACTATCTGAGGAATTTTCCCAGTATACTCTGGTCTATCTTTTTTAGTATTTTACCATGTTCTACGGTGTTGCTATTCATACCTAATTTGTATGGCTCCAGATCTTTCCTAGAGTTCTGCTGCATGTCCACAATGAAGCCGTNATTTGTATGGCTCCAGATCTTTCCTAGAGTTCTGCTGCGTGTCCACAATGAAGCCGTAACCTTTTTAACTCTTGTCTCGGTGATTTCCATTTCCAAAAATAGCTTATTAAAACATATTTAATACATAAAATGTTTTTAAAATTTTAGTGTTTTTTAATTTTCTAAATTTATTTCTAAAATCTATAGATTATATACACGTAATATTTTAACTCTTACTACTATTAAAATTGTTCATCTAAGGAAAAACCAGCTCTATCTACTAATTATATTTTATTGATCATGTATATACAATTAGGATTCTATTTTCAAGTTTTTCAAAGTCCATAGCTACAATAATTTATATTATACTTTGAGTAGTTTTTAGTATTAAATAAATTATTACTTACAATAACATTTCAGATACGAAAACAAGCTCAAGAAATATATGATAAATTCTTCAAAGCAGCTCAAGCTCAACCAAGAGGTGTTGTTGCTAAGCTCAGGAAAATTGTTTCTTCAATTGAATATTGTTTAAATAATCAAGTATAAAATTTACATGAGAAAATTTCTCATAAATGATTATTATGTAACTTTGTTAAAATATGTTATTATTTCTAGACTACTGCTGATAAAGATCTTTTGAATAAAGAACACTGGACAATCACATTTTACAATGCAATATTAGATTTAAAACAGTTATTAATGGAGGATGAAGGTAGTGTTTCTGCTTATGAAATATATAGTAGCGGGCTTGTAGAAGTTTTATTACAACTTCTTTCACAAAATAACCAACATAACACTGATGTTATGATTAAAGATTTGCATAAATTAAGAATTGATATTTTTATCAAATGTTTTAAAGTAAGTATTTAATTAACAAATTTTTGTGGGTAAATGTTAATTTTTTTTTTAACATAGGAAAAAAAAAATGATAAAAGTAATGAAACTTGTGCTTCTGTTTTGGTTCAAAAATTAATATCAGTTTTAGAATCCATTGAACGTTTGCCAGTTTATTTATATGAATCACCTGGAGCATTCCATGGATTACAGGTAATATTAAAATCATCTTCTAAAAAATTAAATGGTTAATTTTATTCTTGATGTATTAATTTAATTCACATATTTCAGATTTTCTCAAGACGAGTTAGATTCCGTCTAGAAAAAGCTCTTAAAGAAACAACACTAGTAGATCGTTCTGGTAGAGGATTACGTATGGAACCTTTAACTACAGTACAACAACTTGAAAAACATTTATTAAAAATGGTTGCTAAACAGTGGTATGATCATGAACGCTCTACGTTTAATTATGTGAAAAAATTAAAAGATAAAAGTAATCTACCAATAAAGTTCAAACATTACTATGATTTTGATAAAAATGGAATTATATATTGGGTTGGAACTAATGGAAAAACATCAATTGATTGGGTAAATCCTGGGCAATATGGCCTTATGTTAGTTCAATCATCTGATGGACGCAATTTACCTTATGGACAAATTGAAGATATTCTTAGCCGAGATTCTGTTGCAATAAATTGTCATACAAATGATGATTCAAAAGCTTGGTTCTCAATAGATTTAGGATTATGGGTTATACCAACTGACTATACACTTAGACATGCTAGAGGGTATGGCCGATCAGCTCTGAGGAACTGGTTATTTCAGGTTATTTTACTTTTTTAGTTGTAATTTTTAACTTATTGACAGTTATTGTAAAACTCATCAAAAATTTTCAATTGTTAAATATTCAAATTCACCATTACATTGCTACTCATGATAATTTATACTTTGTTATAATATCAAATTTCCTATACCCATAAAGTATTTCAATTGGTTTCATCAATCCTAAAGTAGCAATACTAAAGTAATAACCATTTAACTTAGATGAATTTACAATTCTTTAGTAATAAATAATTAAATTTTAAGTANCCATTTAGCTTAGATGAATTTACAATTCTTTAGTAATAAATAATTAAATTTTAAGTAAATATTGTAATACAAAATACAGATGTCAAAAGATGGAACCAATTGGACAACATTATATACACATATGGATGATACAGCATTGAACGAACCTGGTAATACTGCTACATGGTCAATAGAAATAAATGATAAAGATGAAAATCAAGGTTGGCGATATATCAGAATTCAACAAAATGGGAAAAATGCTTCTGGGCAAACTCATTACCTTTNAAAAAATGCTTCTGGGCAAACTCATTACCTTTCATTGTCAGGATTTGAAATTTATGGAACTGTAACTGGTGTTTGTGAAGACCTAGGTATAAAATAAGTTAATTAAACAACTTTAAAAATAATAAAACTTATATTAAGTTAAATACATTAACAAAACTTTTCAAAAAACTGAAATTTATACTAATCATTTTTTAGGTAAAGCTGCTAAAGAAGCTGAAGCTAATCTAAAACGTCAACGGCGATTATTTAAAGCCCAAATGTGTAAACAAATGATATCGGGAGCTAGAGTTATGCGTGGTTTAGATTGGAAATGGAGAGATCAAGATGGTATCCCACCATGTGTTGGAACAGTTACAGGAGATTTACACAATGGTATAATACTTTTGTCAGTTAATTTCAAAGTTTTTAGTAGTAAATATAAGAAAATATTGGGGTTAGGTTGGATAGATGTAATATGGGATCATGGCGTAACAAATTCATACAGAATGGGTGCTGAAGGGAAATTTGATCTACGGCTAGTTGGTGAAACCCAAACTACATTAACCTGTATGTTCTAAATAATGACACATTGTTTAGTGTTCCCAAACCCAAGCCATCCAATGTTATCATTTATTATTATTACATTTCTATTCTTTGTTTTGAGCATGCTAGAGTTTAAATGTCTTTTAATTCTTTCCTGTAGATTACTTTAAAACACAATTTTTCCATCATTTAAAAAATAAATATTTGAAAATGCACTATAATTAGTTTTAAAACTGTTTATCTTTACTGAAGTTATATCAATTTATTACTTGCATGGTAATATTTTTATTCTTATTTATTTGCTTAAGTTTTATTTGTAAAAATTAACATGATTTTAGAAAATTAAGAATTTTTTTAAATATTTTATATAGCAAAATTTAAATGCAGTAGTCCTAACGCTACATTTTCTAACATTATGACAAGAATGTCAACATCAACTCCTAGTCTACCAGAAGCATCTAATGATAGTTTAAATACCAGTGTATCAGTAGCTAGCACAGACCAATCAGCATCAGCAGATAACTTGGCAGCCAAAGTACTAAATTATTAATATTATATTACTAATTATCTATTTATTAAATATAATATTTTTACCACAGAAGTAAAGGTCTCCATATCTATTTTTTATGAAATCCAAATTGCCTACGTCCTTATTTTATAAAATTCACTCTATGAGGTTAAAATTTTGTTTTTAACCTCTCCTTAAAAATAATTAAAATTGTGGTTGTTTTAAAAAATTTTATATTAATTTATAGTTTTAAAATTATACTTTTTAAAGCTTTACATAAAGCTTTGCAATAGTAGTAAGAACTTATTACAATAGTGTTACATAGAAAATAATAATCAACTAAATAACAATATACAGGTAATTGTTGAATTTTTTTTTTAATTCAATCAAAACTAATATACATTATTTTTTTTAACAAAGTAGACTATTTATCAATATACTCAAAATACTTGGAAAACAATCTGTATATTTACTTTTTGTACTATTTACTTTGTATTGGATATTATATCCAGTTATTGTAAATTTTTATTTACAATAATTGGATCAGTAATAGGGTTATATAAAATAGAACCATATCCATTTAATTCAATAGGAATAAAAAAAAAAAAAAAATTTCTCTCTTTTTTTTAATAGTAAACTTGATATGAAGTGCTGATTTATAATTAACACAATGTATTGTTTAATTGTCAAACTTTCTTTTCTTTTTTATATAGCTATTATATCTATATTATTTTTATTCTAGCAAACTGCTCAACATTTAACTGATAGTATAATGTCTGTTATGAGACTAGATTCATCTGTTGCACAGGCTTCAACCAATCAATTAGATAATTCACTTCGTATAGTTGTACACCCAACACCATCAGTTGATCTTGCTACAATTGTTGAGTCAACAGCAAATGGTAAAATAAATTGTATTAAAAAATCCATTTATTTAATTAATAAATGTGATGTATTCTATAACTTTTTACTTAAAGATGAAACTCTACAAAATATTGAAAACAATAAAAAGAACAGTAACTGTTATGAAGAAGAATTTTTGCCAGCTCTTGGTAAAGTCAAACCAGCTTATCGTCGTAGTTCTGTTACTAGCCTTGTTCACACACTCCAATCAATTCAGATTGACAATCCATCAAATAACAAAGTAATTATTTTTAAACTTAGCTAAAAAATATTTTTTTATATTTCTAATAATTGTCTTTAAATTGTATAATATTATTTCTTATTTACCAGCCAAGTCCAGTAGATAAACCCATTATTATTATGCATCACAATGGCCAAGATACCTCAAATGCTCAAATTCAAGATTTGTCATCTGACACTTTAATTAATAATGCTAATAATTCTGCTTTTAATACAGAGTTATGCAATCAAAATAATTTAGGTAATTTAAATTATATTTATTTTAGGTTTTATGTTAATATTTTTACAATTACTTTTAATTAATAATTTACTATATTTTTAAAAGATATAGAAAAAGAAAACAAAAAAGAAGAGAATCGAAACAATGCATCAAATCATATGAGTGTTAGTGTACCAAATTTAACATCAAATGGTGTACCCAGATCTCAAAATGATATACCTATGCAAAAACCCCTTGCTGAGGCTTATGCACCATATCAAAAACATCGTAACAACAATCATAATAATCAAAATCAAATAACCAATCATATATCTCAAAGAGTTCCAACTTCAGTATCTAGTCTTGTTCGTTTAGCTCTCTCTACAAACTNTCCAACTTCAGTATCTAGTCTTGTTCGTTTAGCTCTCTCTACAAACTTTCCAGGTATACATGTTTGTTGTTTAACATATGAAATTATAAGTAGAATTTTTGATATCCCAATTTTTTTCTATTATTATTTAAGTAAATTGTAAAATTGTATGTATAAAATTAATTTAAATTGATTTAAAAGAAACCGTGTTAACCCTATTAGACAAGTTTCAATGCAGTGAAACGTATAAATAGACTCTTTCATTCTGTAACATTCAATTTTGGATAGGTTTTACCATTAAATGAATCTAAAACATCTATTTTTACTTTAATTCAAATTTGAAATCATTATTTTAGGAGGTTTGCTTCAAACAGCACAAAGTTATCCTAGTCTTTCCGCTAGTAATTCCACAAATAACTCTTGCTCTATTACAACAATTGCAAACAGAACATTTTGTGTTGGTGAAGCTCTTACTATGAGTCTAGCTTCTACATCCAGTGATAGTGAACAAGTCAGTTTAGAAGTCAGTGTCAAAAAAAGATAAAATAAGTTTCATCTTATGCTATGGTTAACTTATTTTTTCTTGTAGGATTTTTTGGATAGTGTTCGAGCTCCTGCTTTGTTTGCTGAACTAGAAGATGATGAAGAAATTGTAGAAGATGATGATATGCCTGATGATGATGAAAATGAAGATGAACAAGAATATGAGGAAGTTATGGTTTCTAGAAACTTATTAGCTATGGTAAGAACTAGATAATATAGAAAAAATTATATACTCAATAATCATTTTTTTTTATTATCTAAAGTTTTGACAGCTAAGCCATTAGCAGATATTATTTGTAAATAAATTAAAAAATAAAATAATAAATTTTTAATTTTTAATTTAGGAAGAAGAAGCTTATGAAGCTCAACATGCTGCTATTGCTAGTATTGTTGGTGCTGATAGATGTGGTAATCCATACAAGAGAAGATCATGGGATGATGACTATGTATTAAGAAGAGAATTTACAGCTCTCATACCAGCATTTGATCCTCGCCCAGGCCGCACTAATGTTAACCAAACTTCAGATTTAGAAATTTTAGCACCTCCAGAAAATGAAGATGATGAAAACCCTGATGATTTAACTAAAGATAAAAGTGATTCCTCAAGTCCCTCTACATTACCAAGACTAAAACTAACATTAAAAGGACCTAATTTGCCTGGGGTTTGTCGTAAATTTGTTTATTATTTTTAAAATATATTTTTTTTTTTGTAATGTAAAATTTATTTTATCTTTCTATGAAATTTTAGGGGTATGGTGTGACGTACAGTAAATACTAATTGTTTATAAATTCTAGTATTAATCAGCGTCTTCCACTGTAAGCTCATAGATGAGTGACCATACATATGTGTTAACAGTGGTAAAAGCACCATATCCGCAATATAAAATGCATTGTACTTAAATTTTTGTGTAGTAAACCAGTTATGACAAAGCTATGATTTAAAAAAAAAATATGAAATTTTATCATTTCATATAGTCATTTTTTAAAAGCTTTTTTTATTTGAACACCCAATTTGTATGCTTTGACATTTTTTTTTTTTAAATATTTATAAATATGTTTGTTATTCATAGGTTAAAGATGTAGAAGTAGAGTTGAAGGATCCTAATTGGACCATCTTCCATGCTGTTCAAAAATTAGCTCAATTAGCTGATCTTGGAAGCCGTCAAGAAAGATCTAGGCGTATTTGGGAACCTACTTATACGTGAGTGTGAAATAATAATTATGAACATAAAAAACTTATTTAATAACTTATAATTTAAATTATTAAAAAATTATGTATTTATTTATATAGAATTATTTATGAAGAACTAACTACTGAAACACTAGAACAGAGATCAAATCTTGATAATCAGTGGGATTCTGACTTACCAATATTTTCTACACGTACTCAATTAAGCAACACTGGTTGTACAGTTGATCATGTTTTACAATTATTACGGCAACTCCATAATCTTTCCATTAATCCGAAGATCTCTTTATTGAAACCCTATAATAATGAAATTTTTGTAGGCAAGTTAAAATTATTCCTAATACTTGAATGATTTATTTTCCATGGACTACTCAATTAATCAAAAAATAAAAATAATTTTGAAAATTTTTTTTTTTTTTGGTACATGTTTTTCTTGATCTATCAATCATAAATTATTTTTTATCTTCATCCCTTATACTTTGTATTACCTTGGATAGCAAATTTGTTTTCAAATAGAAATATAATTAACTAGCTTAATTAATAGATAATAATCTAATGAAAAAAATGACTGGTCAATAACAACTTTTAGATCAGTGTTTTAGATGTTATTGATATTTTTATACCTGGACAGTAAAAGATGTACAGACGGAAAATAACTAATGATAATAATAACAACACCCATGTTTCACCTCCAGCCATTACTATAAAATGTTGATATCTTCCAAAATACTGGTCTAAAAATTGTTATAGCTTAGTTATTTCCTTAATTAGGTTATTATCTATTAAATGAGCTTGTTAGTTATGTATGTTTCTGTTTAAAAAAATAAAGTCTACACTCTTTTAAAGTATAAGGGATGAAGATGAAAAATAATTTATAAGTAATAAATCAAGAAAAACATATACTTAAAAGAAACCAAAAAAAAAAAATTCTTATTATTTTTATTTTTTTATTAATTGAGCAGTTTATTAAATATGAATCACTTTGTATACCTTATAATACTTATAATATATTTGGGTTACAGAATATACAAAAGATAATGGAGAATTAATTAATGGTGAAATATTTAATAGTAAGAAAATGACTAATAAGCTCGTTCAACAAATTCAAGATCCTTTAGTATTAAGTTCTGGTGCACTTCCATCTTGGTGTGAACATTTGAATCTTTCCTATTCATTTTTATTTCCATTTGAAACTCGACATCTGTACTTTAATTGTACAGCTTTTGGGCCATCTAGGTAAATTGATTTAAATTTATGCTTACCTGATAAAACTCATATTATATATTTTTTCAGATCCATAGTTTGGTTACAATCTCAACGTGAAAATGTAGAGCGTCATCGGACAAGCTCTAGTTTACCACTTAGAAGAGAAGAGGAATATAGAGTAGGTCGTTTAAAACATGATCGTGTTCGTATCCCTCGGGGTGATAATATATTAGCTTGGAGTAGGCAACTTATGCGAGCTCATATTGATCGACAGACAGTTTTGGAAGTTGAGTTTATAGGGGAGGAAGGTACAGGTTTAGGTCCAACACTAGAGTTTTACTCACTTATTGCTGCAGAATTTCAACGCAAAGATCTTTGTAAGTCGAAATTTACAAAGCACGTCTATAAAACTTTAAAAATGCATAATTATTGATTGATCATTTATTTAGGTATGTGGGTGTGTAATGATGATCTTCTTGAAAATACTAAACAGTGCAGTTGGCTTGAAGAAGGAACAAAACCACCTGGTTACTATGTTAGGAGGCCTGCTGGTTTATATCCTGCACCATTGCCACAAGATTCACCTTGTTGTGACAGAGCTGTTAAACATTTTTGGTTCCTAGGCATGTTCTTGGCTAAAGTTCTTCAAGATAATCGTTTGATTGATCTTCCTTTATCTGTGCCCTTTTTAAAATTATTAACAAAAGCTAAAGATAATGAGTAAGTTTATGAAAAAATATATTTATTACTTTATCAAAAGAATTTTAAAAATTGAAAAAATATCTAATTAAGTAAATTTTTAAGGTTTTGCAGAATTCTTAATGATTCTGATTTGTTTGATATTGATGAAGAACAAGCAACATTTATTAGAAATTTAAAAGATTTAATTTCATTAAAAGAAAAAATTATGCAAGATCAATCACTGAGTAGTGAAGAGAAACAAGAGCAAATTCAAAGACTACAATTTCAGTGTGGTAATACTGGAAAAGTTAATTTAGAAAATTTAAGTTTGAGCATGATCTACCTTCCATCGTCATACTGCTTCCCTTTTACTCATATAAATTTAGTTGATGAAGGTTTCAATAAGGATGTCACCATGGATAATGTAGAGCAATATGTTAGTTTAATGACTGACTTTATTTTGGAAAAAGGAATAAAAAGACAAATGGATGCATTAAAAGCTGGTTTTTGTCGTGTTTTTTCTATTGAAAAATTAAATGCTTTCACACCTTTAGAATTAAGACGAATGTTGTGTGGACAACAAGAACCAGAATGGACTAGAGAAGATTTATTGAACTACACTGAACCTAAACTAGGATATAACAGAGAAAGGTAACTTTTTTTCATTATTTATTAAAATATTAATTAATACAATTATTTATTTAATTATGTTTGTTTTATTTTTCTTAGCCCTGGATTCTTGAGATTAGTAAATGTGTTAGAGCAAATGAATGCTGAAGAAAGGAAATCGTTTCTACAATTTACCACTGGTTGTTCATCCTTACCACCTGGTGGTTTGGCAAACCTTTATCCTAGACTTACAGTTGTCCGTAAAGTTGATGCTGGTGCAGGAAGCTTTCCATCAGTAAATACATGTGTTCATTATTTAAAATTACCTGAGTATCCAGATGAACAGACCTTAAGAGAACGCCTTTTGGCAGCCACACTTGAGAAAGGCTTCCATCTTAATTAAAACTTATTTTTGTTAGTTATGTTAAATTCTAAGAAAATTTATATAATCCACTCATATAGTATATATATTCAAAATAATTATACAATTTTTATTTCAAATTATTCTTAAATAACTCAACAATTTTGTGGCTGCTATTTCTTTGTAATATAAGTTCATTGGTGTTCCATAAGTACCAGTATAATAATATTTTTTTGATTCTATTGTATAATTTATCTAATACTAACTGATATTGTGATGTTTAATTTTTATGGTTTCCTTTTTTATAGTTATAAGTGTTTTGTCATAATAGTAGATAAATATAGGTATATGGTTTTAAGAGAATTTATGGTTTAAGATTGATGACTCATCATGTTTCATAAAAGTTAGTTATACTAATTATTATTAAATCTATCAAAATATTAAATAGTAAATTAAAATATAAATTATATTTGTATTTATTTTATCTTCTATAATGTAATTCATGCACACAGCTTGAAAACATTTTTAAGTATTTCATCATCATACTATCACCAGCGAACAGTATATCAATACTTGAAAATTTTCAATTTATAATATTTCACGAGTAAACTTAGTGCATAAGATTTTTTTTTTACAGTACACAATCCCTTAAATATTTTAGATACTTATTAATTATATAATTATATTTTGTTTTTGAAAGATCCAAAGTAAACTTTAGGTATCTTTTAGCTATGTGCCTTACCCCTGTAAAATCCAAATAATTTGAGGTAAACTAATAAAAATTCCTAGTATTTTAGTTAATAAACTGTAATTTAATCTAATTGATTAAAACTAGTATTTGGAGATAAGTAATTCAAGTTAAAAAAGTATCATTACCAAGGTTTAAATAAAATATTTTCAGTTTAGTTGTACTTTAAACTAATCAATAATTTTATGAATTCTTTTAAAATAAGTTTTTTCATTCAAAACTTCTAAATTTTGTTACTTAAATACTATTTTACTGTATGATGTCTTATTTTAACTAGATTATTATTATTATTTGATAATAAATTTCCAAAGAAAAATCATTTGGGAGATGTTCAGAAATTAAAAAACAATTAATCACATTAAATTGTGTATCCAATAGAAAACTATATTATTAATGTCATATATGATATTGGTATATTCTTAACGATACGATCATTTTATCTATATAAAAACTACATCTCTAAAAGTAATCAAAATAATATAATAAATTAGAATTATAAAAATAAATATATATGTATAAATTACAAGTTTAACTAACGCAATGTGTCACTAGTCATCGCTGGTTTTCTTTTCGGTCTTTTTGGGAAGCAGAATGGCTTGAATGTTGGGCAGTACACCACCTTGGGCTATGGTGACGCCACTTAACAACGTGCTGAGCTCTTCGTCGTTACGTATGGCCAACTGTATGTGTCTGGGTATGATCCGAGACTTCTTGTTGTCCCGAGCAGCGTTACCGGCCAACTCGAGAATTTCGGCCGAAAGGTACTCTAAAACGGCCGCCAAATACACCGGTGCACCAGCGCCCACACGTTCAGCGTAGTTGCCTTTTTTCAATAATCGCAGGATACGGCCGACTGGAAACTGCAAGCCGGCACGCGACGATTTGGTCTTTGTTGCGCTTCCGGGTATTTTACCAGCCTTTCCGGACATCTTAGCAAATTGTACTCGTTAATTATTCTATTGGTAATTAATCACGCCACTCTTAACGAAACAAATAATGCTTAACTTTACCCAACGTTGGCTAACACCGATTGAATTAAGTTTGCAAACGCTCAATGTAAATTGGGTAGTTCCAGAACGTCAGTCAAGTACTTCAACACTGAAACGTCGACTAGGAATATTTATTTTAAAATAATTTTACCGAGAAGTCTCTTAAAACTTGTTTAGTGCGAAACACTGTGTTCATTATCAATGTTTTATCAAATCCTGGGAAACCATGAAATTCATAAATTAATAAATACGTTGTTTCCATAAATAACAATTATTAATAATACAAGCAAATGTTATTGTTAGATATTGTTATTGTTGATAGCTCAAAACGAATTTGAAAGTTATCGGTTGTAATAAAACCTAATTATATAGAGTAACTTTAATATTACTATTAAACTTAATGAGAATTATTTTATAATAAATATATAAGTTCTAATTGGTTGTTTAATAAGTAAATAAATTTAGAAAATTTCCAATGTTTATCAACTTCTTTTAAAACAAATAATGTTATTGATGTACATTTAATAAGTTTTAGGGAGGCTAGAATTATTTAAATCAATGAACCAGGAAAACAAATACAATAATGGTAAAAATAAAATTTCGATTTATGGGTATAATTCAAATTTCTGGAGGAGTTTATTTGTAAATAAACAATTTCCAATTAAATTGGTCATTATTACAAACATGAATAAAAATCTAATGCAATAAGTATTTTATTATTCTATTTTAGTCTTCTATGGATACTAATATTCGAATAAAAATATATCAAATGATATTCTTAATAATTATAAATAACATTATGGAGTTATAACTTTATATATATATAATATAGTAACTTTATTACAAAATTATAATTTTCATAAAAAAAATTGTTTAATAGAATTAAACCGTATGTGATGTTAATCAAAATAAACAAACTCATTTCGTAATTAAAAAAAAAGATAACATTCAGAATACTTTGTTATAAATGTGTATATTTGGTATTTAAATACTAATTATGACTATTTCCTTTGAAATTCAGTTCATTTTGCTTTGATGCGAAACTAAGTAGGTATTAAAGATATTAATTTTATTTTAAAGATTATTCATATTATTAAGTACATTTTATACCCTGATAGTTTTAAGTTGATTAATATATTTATTTATATATACATTTATTTAATTAAATGAATTATTAACAGTGACGTAGTCTAGATGACGTTCTGTTTTAATATCTGATATCTTCGGTACAGAAGATTCTTTTTTTGCATCCAAACAGTATTAATTTTTTCAACCTAAATCCATAACAAGTTTATTCAAATAAATGTATTTATCAATAATTAAAATACTGACGTGAATACAAAACTAAATCAAGGAAGGAGACCAATAGATGGACTATAGCCTCTTAAATGACCAATTATTACTATTATGGCCCAAAACATTATTTGATTTGATCGGCTCGATAGAGAAATAAGACATTGTATACATACTACTCTACGACATTCAACCAATTTGATCAGTTGATACGAGGTGATTAGGCGGTTAGATGGCACAACATTTGATAAGACATTTGTCAAACGATACCCCACTGCTAATAACACTTAAATATCTCGTTTATTAAATAAATTAGAATATGCATAAACGGAAGAACATAAATTATAAATAACATTATCATTCTTCTTAGAGATCGAGCTCATCAGTCAAGGAGCACCAAAAAGTCTTAGGGATGTCCAGGGACAGCTGCCCCAGGCAGCACCTTATTTATACACGTCCCTGCCCTCTCCTAACAAAACTCCTGGCTATAACACAGATCAGTAATACAATAATTTGATTAATTACACAGTTTTTTTAACTAAATTTATTATTTAAGAAATTTAAATAATGATAATATGTGAAAATTTAATCACTACCACGGTTAATAACTTGATTAGTAGATGTTTTCATAGTTTTTGACAACTTTGTCAAAAATGGAAGCCTTCTTTATGTATATTGATTTGGAGCTGATATCAATCTATTTATGCCATATAACATTAAAATATCTTATGAAATCTCTAATCCAATAAAAACAAATACAAATACAAAATAGATAAAAAAATAAATAAAAGAAAATTTCGGTAAATTTTTATTTGTTCAATATTTGAAGTTTCGCAGAATAGAAACTCGTTTCGGTTACTAAGTTAAAATTATTTTTTAATTCTTATATATACATGTATATTACGCAGCGTATTAAATAGTTATTGGCTAAAAAAAAATTTACGATGATCGTAAAATATCTTAGTCTATGAAATAATAAATAAAATTGTTGTAGCAACGTTATTAAGTGTTGGCTCAAATTTTACTCGAAAACTTAGTATATAAGATCAAGCAAACTAAAAATTCATTGGGACTTTTAATCTAACCAATGAACGAAGAACATAATATGTTCTTGGTTAGCTTATATTATAAGCTCTTGTAGAAACTCACCAGAAAGAAGTCTTAATCGTGTCAAAATCAAATCTTAAAATATTGACTTCAACGTGACATTTGCAAGTCGAATAGTGTTGTTGGAACAACCGTCAAATTTATTTGCGGCCTTATTAGACAAAATAATGAACATAGAGGAGATAAAGTTAATATAATTTCATATAACCAATATAAAGTTATAGTAGAAAAAACCCAGCACAGGGAGGTCGCATCACAGTGATGACGTGGTATAGTGTTCAAGTATAATGAAATCTGACAGTGATTAAAAGCACTATCATAAAAAACGCTTTGATGCAAATCTGTATAGTGTTTAATTAAAGAAAATTGATGAATTATTCCAAAAGCTACATGACCTCCTATTCCCTTATTTATATCCTGATTACAAGTTTTATGATTTATAAGTGTAATATATTTATAATTTATAAATATATAAAGAAAAATGGTTTTATTTAAAAAAAAAAGTATGTAGAATAAAAGAGGTTTATAAATAGCACTTAACATAAAAAAATTGTATTGACCCATATATTTTTCAAAAAGTTATAGCATTATAAAATTAAAAATATAAAAAAGAATTTTTTTACAAAAATTTTATTTTTTTATTAACTTTGATGTCTGTTTTCACCGTGAAAACAAGGTAAAGTCCGAATTTTTTTTTCCTATTATAAAGTATATTACATAAGCTTTAATTTAAGATATATATAAAAGTGTCAGAGTTTCCGGAACACTTTCAAAAGTTAATTTTTTGTGTAAAAAATGTCATTTTGAATCCCCCCTGTGGGCTGGTATTTATAAACAGATTTATAAAAAATATATACTAAATAATAGGTAAGTACATCATGTATCTAAAATATATATATATATATTGATTTGATCATTTTTTAAAAAGTTATGGTAGTTTTAAGTAAAAAAAATTGAAAAAATGTCAAAAATTAGCGGTTTTTAAATTTGTAATTTTTTTGAAGATTTCCCCTATTTACGGGGAACCAGGGAAATTTTTTCAATTTTTGAGGATAATGTCTTCGATTAGATACGATTTGTTATCTTTTGGCGAATCATTGAAAGAAATTGGTTCGGTGAGAGCTGAAAAAAAGTGGTAACAGACACAAAAAAAAAAAACACATCATAGTAAAACTAATACCTTATTAGCTTTGCATCGAAGCTAATATATCACATAGAACAAATTCCCTACACAGACTTTTATAATAATAATTTATCGCTTTAACAATAGTTATCAAGTAAATATAATCAGTCTATTAGTAAATAAAATATTCTAAGTTGTTTATTTTACTCAAGTTTATTATATTTGAAGTTACCTTAATATGTTCACTCATAGTTTCAGATAAATATTTTTAAAAAACCTTTTTACTTGGTAACAAACATTGAAACTAGTCGAAATATAAAGTTTGTACTTAAAATTTTTATTATTAACAGTATCGTTTTAATTTATCATCTTTACACATATAATGATAGCACAAAATGAACCAGGACATCTATCTAGAGCACATCATGGAGAGCAAAAAACTTGTGTGATAAGTAAGGATTATTATGCAAATGCATATTTTCCAATAACCGAATTACAAAAATTTTAAATATATGAAAAAAATTTCATAGCTGTTACATAAAATTTGCATTTTTAGTAATATAAATTTATATTTATTTTTAATGCGTTAACTTGTAAAATAAAAAGTTAAAAAAATTTTTTTGCATATTTTTAAATCTTGCATGCTTATTTATACGAATGTTTCCTAATATTTTTCTTATAAAATTCTAGAATTAATTTAATCTGGTAAAATGTACTGTAATAAAATGTGGACTATATATTTTGTATTTCTACAATATTTTCATGTTATTTATTAATCCAACTCAAGTTAATTCTATCAAGTTAAAATAATGTTTATGTTAGAGTTATCTAAAATAACCTCACAAAAAAGTCCTGGGTTTTCACAAAGATTTAATTTGTAAAGAGAACAAAAAAAAAAAATTGCCAATTTCACTTAGATTTATGAATTTTAATTCAAAAGAGTGTTTAGAATTATGTTGGGAACAGCTAAAGCTTATACTAGTTTAAAAAATATTCTTACACAGCCTCAATTACACGAAGAATATGATACTTGTATAATCCATACATTACAGTATCTTAATATCCTTTTATATGACAGTTTTCTCTTTAATTAAAAAAACTNATATCCTTTTATATGACAGTTTTCTCTTTAATTAAAAAAACTATAAATATATTTCATTTAATATTACCCAAAATTTAGGTTTATTAATTTTATAAAGAAAAAAATCAAATGATATAAAAAAATTATATTTATTTTCAATACATTTATATTTTATGGCTATTTGACATATGATTTTTTGCTAAATAGTATTTGGAAATCAATTAGGTCTTACTCTGTATGAGCC